AGGCGAAGTGGCGCCTGACCCACCGACTGCTTCGTCTCCGACTTGGCGACAAAGCGCAGCGTCTGCCACTCGATGTGCTTGAAGACGAGCACCTGTCCGCGCGCCGGGTCGCGGATGCGCGTCTTCGAGAGGTCGTCCACCGCCTTCCACAGGCAGCTGCGACTCTCGATGGTGATGCGCGTCAGCTCAAAGGAGGCGCTGAAGATGGCGGAGCGAAACTGAACGTTCACCGAGTTGATGGACAGAGTGATGCCGTCGATGACTTTGTTGATGAACCCGTAGCTGCCGGCCTCTCTGCAGGTGAGAAGTGTTGTTGTTGTTGTAGATGACTGTTATTACGTCAAAAGTAATTAAAAAAACTTACTGATTCAAGTTGACCTTATTCGCCGCCCTAAACTTGGCTACCTCGCGAAAGTCCTCGCAGGTTTCCGCCTCGATGGTCACCTCGTCCAGAACAATGTAAATGGGTATCGTTTTAATTTTGATCCAGTTTATCTAGTGTGCAAAAAAGAAGAGATTTATAAGGAAGCTTCTCACTAGATCACTAGACCTACCTTGACTGAAGCGTAGTTGCAGTGGGCCTTGGTCAGCGACAGCCACACCGGCAGCTCCAGCAGCTCCATGAGCACCTGTTCATTAAGCTCAATGTTGTTCACCTCAAAGGAGCCCCGCATAGTGCTCATCTGCAGCTTTTCAGGCGACAGGTTCTTGGTGAACCTGTTAATGGGGAAAATTCACAGGTTAGAGAAAGTGTAAGCAATAACAACAAGAGGTACTCACTTTGACAGGTGCTTCAGAATTTGGTTCTTCAGTAGTGACGCCATTGTTGTGGTAGTGGTGGTGGTGGTGCGTAGTGGTTACAGGGTCTGAAGCAGCTGAAGACAAAACAGTCCTGGTGATGGTTACGATGAGTGTGTGAAATAGTGAAATAGCTGCGCCAATAAATGAGTTATTGAAAGTTGTGTAAGAGATGATGAGTCAGTGAAATTACGGCGAATCACAGTCTGGAAAGGAACATCAGTGGAGGATCGAGTGTAGGGCTGAAAACTGGAGACTGGCCGAAGAATTACACGGCAACAAATGGGCACGGCGGGGCTGTTGTACAGCACACGGCTGGTTCGCTCAGCTCGGCCTGCACCAGAGCTCTATACAGCGACAAGGATTTTTTCAAGCTGCTGCTGTTGTTGCCGCAAAGCAGCCAAAACACCAGAGCAGAAAGAGAGGAAAGTAGGCAGACGATCAACAGCAGCAGCAACGGCAACGACAGCAGCAAATACGTATCAGGGTAATCGGATGGCGATAATGGAGCCGTAATCCTCAGGCAATTGCAGTACAAACACTGAAGAGTGGAGAGGAGAGTGATAAGATTGACACTTGCTGGTTGTGGGACTGGTTTTGGTGATGGTGATGATGGTGGTGGTACTTTTGCTGATAAGCGGTTGTTGCGGTTAGTAGCGGCTTTTGCGTGTTGCTGTTGCTGGTAGCAGAGGTGGTAAAAGAGAAGGCAAAGCTCATCTGCCTCCAAATAGAGGGACATTCGCACAGACAACAGTCACCACCGTCGCCACCACCATAAACGACCAGCGGAAGGGCATTATGGATGGAAATTGGGAAGGGAGAGAGAGAGCTGCCGACGTAATGGTGGTGTAGTTGAAGATAATAATAACGCTGACAGGTATCTCTCTCTCTTTGGCTGCCTGTTCTCTTTTGTGCTCACTTCAGGTGAGAGGCACCAAAAGAGAAACACGAAACGGGCACGAAAAGAAGAAGCATATGTAGATCGGTGGAGTGAGAAAAAAGAGAGAAAGTGGAACTGCAGACTGCAGACAGATTTTTGTGCCTTCTCAGCGTGATTGGTGACAGATTGAGATGAGGTGAGAGAGAGTGAACAAGCAACCAGGAACAACCACAATAAATAGAAGAAGAAAAGAGGCACTTTTGAAGAGGATGATTATCGTCTTCGGTGGCCACGAGCAAACTTCAAATGCAAAAAGCGGGATCTGCTGGTTCACGAAGAAGGAAGGAGGGGTGGGATGGAATAGGGTCCTTCTAAATGCCGATGATCAGATGAGGATCACTGGTGGTGGTGGTGGAGAACGTGGCCACCGAGAGAGTGCTGGTGGTCAGAAAGTGGTGGCCTGTCTCTCACTTCTCTGTCGACTGCAGAAGACGGCCGTACGTTGCGTACGAATGCTGCACTGCAGGCTGCAGCTGTGCTCAAACGGCAACAACAAACGGGCTCGAGCCTTTCAATCCAGTGCACTCCAATGAAATCCTGCGCCGTACTCTTCGCCGTACTCTCACGCACCACTCAGCTTGGACACATTCCAAACAGCTCGCTGGCATCACACAGGCACAAACTTGATTGATCAAATAAATCACAGACATCACCATCTCCATCACCTGGCCATCAGCACGCCCGCCGGCAATTTTGTTTTATCAGCACAAACTTTTCCTCGAGTTTGGTCCACTACCACCACCACCACCACTAGCCCATCACGAACGAGACATGCCGCTGGACATTCCACGCGACCATAACAATGGCGGCGACGGCGACGGTGACGGCGAGTGGGTTGATCTACAGGGCTACCAGGCCATGAACGTCGCAGTTGTCGATGACGATGATGAAGAGGAGGAGGAGGAGGAGGCGGAAGAGAGCGATGAAGAGGGCNGTGGGTTGATCTACAGGGCTACCAGGCCATGAACGTCGCAGTTGTCGATGACGATGATGAAGAGGAGGAGGAGGAGGAGGAGGAGGCGGAAGAGGGCGATGAAGAGGGTGAGAGCGACTTTGACTTCACCAGTGATGAAGATGGGGAGGGGGTGGCGAGAGAAGAGGAGGCCGCGGCAGAACGGACTACGCAATCGGACGACAACGCTGAAGAGCCAGACAGATACGCCCACTACAGACCAATCAGACAGGCTGATGATCCGATGATGAATGGCGGTGGCCGGGGTGGGGATGCTGCTGCTGCCGCCGCCGAACCAGCTGGTGCTGAAGAAGAGGCCGAAGCAAACCAGGCGAGAAACGTCTTCTACCAGCACAACTACGTCGTCCAGTGGATCCCCACCGATGAGCCACTCTTTGATCGAGGGCAATTCGAAGCCAGACAGGCTGCTGCTGCTGATGCTGCTGAAACAGCTGCGCCGAATTCTNGATCCCCACCGATGAGCCACTCTTTGATCGAGGGCAATTCGAAGCCAGACAAGCTGCTGCTGCTGCTGAAACAGCTGCGCCAAATTCCACAGTCTCAACCAGTGAAACATCAACAAATGAGACTCGCCCTTCAGAAAATTCCACCGATGAGAGCAGCAGCAACAGCCAGTCAACCACTTCAGCAGTTCTTCAGTCCGATGCTTCAGCAACAGACAACAGCAGTGTTGCCAAAGAGCAACCGCTGGACAAGGAGAAGATTGACGTCATCAAGGGACTGATGTCCGGTTTCAGACTGCCCGAAGAAAGCCTCCCTGGCTGGGCGAAGGAGATTCCCGAGGAGCAGTGGAAGTCGTTTATCAACAAAAAGATGGATGGCTAGTCACCTCTTTTCAATTCTGTAAATAAACGTGAAAGTGTTTTTAATGTGGTTATTAATAATAAAAAATGTATTCGCCAATTAACAATTCCAGGTGTTCTCAGAGTACTTGAGTGTGAAGTGTGTGTTTACAAGAAAGCCTGCAGCTCCTCCTTCGTCCACATGTGGTAGCCCTTGTCCTTGGTGATGGTGGCCACCTCGACGTTCGTCGAGCTGAGCTTCTCCTCCATGACCTGCTTCAGAATCTTCAGAACTGTCTTCAGCGCTTCATCAATGGTGATGGACTGAAGAAGGAAAAACAGTTGTAAGTCAAAAGTGAAAACAAAACAAGTTCTAAAGCCAACTCACCTTGTTGTAGCTCTCCTGAAGAGCCTGTTGAGCGCCCTCGCAGCCTGATCCGATGGCCTTTGCCTCACAGGAGACGTAGGTTCCCGACGGGTCCATGAAGTAGAGGGCCGGACCGACGTCATTGTCGACGCCGGCAAAGAGAATGGCCAGTCCAAAGGGACGACTCATTGCACTGCCTTCATTGTCGCTGTCGCCGAACTGAATGGCCAAGTTGGCGACCGCCTGGGTGCAGCTCTCTACGGACATCTTCTCGTTGTAGAGGAACCAGTGGTGCTAAACAAGTCAAGAGCAGTTTTAGAAAAAAACATTCTCATTTAGTAAATCAAATCTTTACCTGAGCCTCCACTCGAGCCCGGTCGACCATGGTGCGAGCGTCGGCCATCAGACCGGAGCAAGCACAGGCGACGTGCTTGTCAATCTCCGAGATCTTCTCCGTGGCCGAGGCGTCCATCAGTGGAGAGGAGACGCGTTTCTCCACCGCCAGCAGAACGCCATCCACGCACTTGATAGCGATGGCAGTTGATCCAAGCTATCAGAATGACAACGCCGAATTGTTAGTCAAAAGACCAGAAAAGAGTTTCAAGTGAGAGAAAATGTTGAGCTGCACAAACCTTAATGGCTTCAATCGCGTATTCCACCTGGAACAGACGTCCCTCCGGTGAGAAGGTGTTGACGCCGCGATCGTACTCTGATCGAGTCATAAACATTTTGAGCTTGGTCTTGTTGAGACTGTTTTTGAGATGAGGGAACAAGAACTGATGCAAAGAACCGGCGACGGCGATATGAGGTTTTTTGCTAGACGATGCAAAGTTGACAAGCACAATTTTTCGCCGACTCACGGAGAAAACACAACGCGATCAGCAGTGGGCTGCCCTCAAATGACATGACCGCCAGCAAAGACGGCTCAAAAACAAAAAAAACTTGACTTGTTTACATCGCATCAGCTGTTGTCTTTCCGTCATCTTAACCTTATCACACGGTACTCTAAGGTCCAGCATGGTCTGCGAAAAGTGCCAGAAGAAGCTGGGCAAGGTCATTACGCCAGATGCCTGGAAGTCGGGCGCTCGGAACACTACGGGTAAGCAAAGTTGCCTATTGAAACGTCGATGAAGCTAAGTTTTACCCTTATTCCCAATCCCAAACAGAGGGCGGAGGACGATCGATAAATGAGAATAAGGCGCTGACATCAAAGAAGAACCGCTTCACGCCGTACACTAAGTTTGAGACGTGTAAAATCTGCAAACAGAAGGTTCATCAGGCTGGATCACACTACTGCCAATGTAAGTACATGAAGATGCTTTGAAAAGATCCTTGTCGCTAACATTTTCATATCCCTCAAATTAGCCTGCGCCTACAAGAAGGCAATCTGCGCCATGTGTGGGAAAAAGCTCTACAGTACGAAAAACTACGCACAATCTTCCGTATAAAAGGATTCCTTGCGATTCTAAAAGCACCTTTTCCCAATACATTGTACATAACATCCATACGAAGAAAAATTCATTTTTTGTAACATGTTTTTTGAACAACATTGCAATAAATATTTGAAGCGAAAATCATATAATTCGTAGAAGCGTTTATCACATGCAATTCTTCAGGAGGGGGCAAAGAGTCAGTTGGTCCTCCAGTTGAGTAGGCGGTAATGATGAATGAAGCGGTCACAGCTGCCCCAGCAGGACAATGTTATCCTCCGGCTGACCACTTCCAACGGTGCTGGGAATGGGCTGGCACCAGGGATTGAAGACCGAGTAGGCGCTCAGCTCGCCGGCCCGTCGGTTGCGCAGGTTAGTGCAGACGAAGATGAGCAGAGCCAGGGCAAAACAGACCGACCCGAAGCCGTACTTGTAGGCGACCACCTGAAGGACGACGTACAGCAGCAGCTTGAAGGCGATCCAGGCGATGTGAGCAGTGGTCTTGTGCTTCAGAAAGTGGCGAACCAGCGAGAGGAAGGAGTCATCATCGTCGTCCTCATCTTCTTCCACCACCCCGCCCTGTCCATCAGCAAAAAAGGGAAACTCCTGGATGTCCTCCTCCTCTTCCTCTTCTTCACCTCCTTGTCCCAGACGACGACCGCCTCGCAGCGGTGCTCGAACTGGTAGTGCTGGCGGTCGCGGAGGCAGGACATCATTATCATCCAGATCATCGAAGGCAAAGTTCTCCGCCAGCACACGAGGATCATCAAAGGGATCAATCTCCGCTGGACGTCGACCACCACCGCCTCGGTGGTGGTTATTGTGGTGATGATTTCGGGTGGTGTTGTTACTGCTGCCGCTGCCGGTGCTGCCGAAGCGAAAGACGCGAGCCAGCTGACGACCTAATTTGCTGGTATCAGGCTGCTGCTTCGACTTCTTATCTTCCTCCTCTTCGCGTGCTTTCTTCGCGGCGGCCTCCTTCTCCTCTGCCGCCTTCCTCACCTCGTCCTCTTCAGTTCTGTTCTTCAGGTACCGCTGTCGAAGTAGCTGCCGTACATTGGAGACCTCATTTTCGGTGGTCAACGCCGAGACGCCTGACTGGAACATCTCCATGCGCTCTTTGTTTGACAGTTTACGTTGCTCTCCTGCCATTGATGCCAGTATTTCAAAGAGGAAAGGGGGTTGCAGTTTATCAGCAGGGCGAGGAGAAGCTGTTTACCTCAGCAAAATTGAAGCGCACACAGTCGTCGTACAAAAGATTGCCGATGATGATAAGACGAGCTCTCCTCATAAAGCCAAGTCAGTCACTGACTACGAGAGCATTTGGGGAAGTAAACGTACAGCTGTACAAATCTAGCCAAACCAAAACATGAGCAATCAGACAGCAGAAAACGACATCTAGTGGACTGTATTGAGAAACAGTCTTTTTTAAACTCCAATGTCAAATGTAATCATCATTCAAAGTAGAGCCTCTTTGCAAAATCCTTTCACTCGAAAAAAGTTAAAACAATTAGTGGTTTTTTTATATCAAAGAGTGATTACACAACGAGTTTATTTGACAACAATGATGGTTTTGGTTTGGGGGTAGTGGTAGTGTACACATTTACAAGTTTAATTAGAGCAAAAGTATAAAGCGGTAAAGTAGAATCATAAATGATGATTGTGGTGAATTACCAATTGTAGTAAAATGCTAGTTTGTATAAAAAGGTNCTTTGTTTGACAGTTTACGTTGCTCTCCTGCCATTGATGCCAGTATTTCAGAGAGGAAAGGGGGTTGCAGTTTATCAGCAGGGCGAGGAGAAGCTGTTTACCTCAGCAAAATTGAAACGCACACAGTCGTCGTACAAAAGATTGCCGATGATGATAAGACGAGCTCTCCTTACAAAGCCAAGTCAGACTACGAGACCATTTGGGGAAGTGAACGTACAGCTGTACAGATCTGGCCAAACCAAAACATGAGCAATCAGGCAGCAGAAAACGACATCTAGTGGACTGTATTGAGACATAGTCTTCTTTTGAAAACTCCAATGTCAAATGTAATTATCTTTTGAAGTAGAGCCTCTTTCCAAGATCCTTTCACTCGAAAAAAGTTTAGACAATTGGTAATTTTTTATATCAAAGAGTGATTACACAACGAGTTTATTTGACAACAATGATGGTTTTGGTTTGGGGGTAGTGGTAGTGTACACATTTACAAGTTTNCTTTGTTTGACAGTTTACGTTGCTCTCCTGCCATTGATGCCAGTATTTCAAAGAGGAAAGGGGGTTGCAGTTTATCAGCAGGGCGAGGAGAAGCTGTTTACCTCAGCAAAATTGAAGCGCACACAGTCGTCGTACAAAAGATTGCCGATGATGATAAGACGAGCTCTCCTCATAAAGCCAAGTCAGTCACTGACTACGAGAGCATTTGGGGAAGTAAACGTACAGCTGTACAAATCTAGCCAAACCAAAACATGAGCAATCAGACAGCAGAAAACGACATCTAGTGGACTGTATTGAGAAACAGTCTTTTTTAAACTCCAATGTCAAATGTAATCATCATTCAAAGTAGAGCCTCTTTGCAAAATCCTTTCACTCGAAAAAAGTTAAAACAATTAGTGGTTTTTTTATATCAAAGAGTGATTACACAACGAGTTTATTTGACAACAATGAAGGTTTTGGTTTGGGGGTAGTGGTAGTGTACACATTTACAAGTTGAATTAGAGCAAAAGTATAAAGCGGTAAAGTAGAATAATAAATGATGTTTGTGTTGAATTACCAATTGTAGTAAAATGCTAGTTTGTATAAAAAGGGGAGAAATGCAAATCTTCATTCTAATGAGTTAAAAGAGCCGGCTGAAAAATAAATGAAATGCATGCGGGTCGAAAGAAAATGCAAAAACTGATCCGAGTAAGAATGGAGGGTTACAAAGTGAAAGCATCAAATCAGTACACTGTGCTGAGAAGTAAAAACAGAGCAAGAGAATCTTGCACAAGCAGACAAAAATGCTCGCCTGCTTGCAAAAGAGAAGAATGAGAAGTCAAGAAGAGTAAAAGAAAGAAGAGAAAGAATGAAAAATGCATGAATGGGAAAAACAAATAAAAATAAGACAATAATCATAAAAGGATATAGATGAGGTGGTAGATGAGTGGGAGGAACAACAGGCAGAAACAGATCACAATCAAAGATGGACGAGAGGAGGGAGAGACGGTACGGCTAGAGTTGAGAAGAGTCAAGGAGAAAGGGCTTTTGTGGGANGTGGTAGATGAGTGGGAGGAACAACAGGCAGAAACAGATCACAATCAAAGATGGACGAGAGGAGGGAGAGACGGTACGGCTAGAGTTGAGAAGAGTCAAGGAGAAAGGGATGTTGGGGGGAAGGGACAAATAGAGTGAGTCAGGGCTTAAGTAATTGGACTGTGCAGACACTGAAGATCATCAGATGAGATAGCTATAGCTTTAAGCTTCCTCCACCTTATCACCACCATTGGACTTCTCCTTCTCTTCAGTCTCCCTCAGCTCATCCTCTTCCCCAGCATTATTATCACCATCAGCCTTGGCCCCCGTCTTTTTCGTCGTCTCAGCTGCAGCAGTACTGACGACCTTCTGTGGGTTGCTCTGCTTCCGCTTCTTCCCGCCCAGCTGACTGCAGCTGCTGCTGTGCGTGTTCTCTGTCTCCGCCAGTGAGCTGCAGCTGACGGAGCTGGCCACCGAGAGGCCGTCCAGCGAGCGGTTAGAGTCTTCGCCGTCGATGACTGCTCCAGCAGTACCACCACAGCTGGCAGATAGGTCAATCTTCAGTCTCTTTGGACTGCTGCTGCCGTCTTCGTGGTCATCATCATCCTGGTCATTATTCTCTTCATCAAAGTTGGAGTTTGAGTTGCTCTCGTGGACAATCACAGACGATCGGGCGGCGGCAGTGGCAGGGGAAAAAGGCTGAGGTTGTTGAGGAGCAGCAGCGGCTGCGGCAGCGGCCACCGCCGCCGTCAGCTCCAGCGGAATCATCTGCACCTTCTTCTGGTCGCCGGTAATCAGGCGAATCATATTTTTCCCGTCATAGTCGTCTTCAACGGGCGCCTGACCGCTGCTGCTCGCCAACAGTGCCGCCTCTCTCGCCATGGTCACCTGCTTCAGCGCCTGCATCTTGGCGGAGTTTCCGCTCTGGAAAGGAAAAAGATAATGAAGATAAAAGTTAGAAAATCNGGAGTTTCCGCTCTGGTGAGAAAAAAGATAAGGAAGATAAAAGTTAGAAAATTTCTCACACTTTTCACATGTAAAAAGACCACTTACATTGGGCGTCCGCTTTCGGTGAGCAATAAAGTCCCGTCGCATGTGAATCGGCCGGTCGCGATTGTGCAGTTTGTAGTAGAGGCCGCAAGCGTTGCAGACAATCTCACCGCGCACATTGCGCCGCCACTCGCTGGACTTGTTGACGCCGCAGTTTGTGCACTGGACGTCTCTCGCCTTTACCTGACAGGGGCAAAAAAGAAAAACAGATTAGTTGTCAAAATCCTTCCCTTATCTTTTTCAACACCACCTACCTTCCGTCCCGAGTGCGATTTTCGGCCCGGCGAGGCGCCGCTGCCGTCGTCGCAGTTTTTGTCACTGACGACGATAGGCAGTGCCGCCATGAGCAGCGCCTTCCGATTCAGCTGACTGCTGCTGTGGTCGCTGAAGCTGTTGTGGTGGCCAATGATGCCCACGGGGTGCGTCGCCGAGATGGACGGCTGCTGATGCTGCTGCTCGCCATCAGAAGAGGGCCCCGTGTTGGAGCTTTTCCGCTTGGTCGTGTTGGACGACTTTCCTCCTCCGCCCATCAGTGCGCTCATAGCGCTGGCCATGGCGGCCGCCGCCCCAGTGCCGCACTTGGCGCACAGGTAGTGGGAAATGTTGCCGTACCGGCGCAGCTGTGTGGTCGAGCTGAGGATGCCGCAGTTGGCGCACTCATGCGCCGCCAGGCCATTTTTGCTTCCAGCGACCGATGGCCCTCGCTTTCGGGTGAGCTGTGCCGCCAGCTGACTGCTGTTGTCCATCATCTC